GGTTACACGTATATTTGAACGTTTAAAATTATTTTTCTAAGGCACTTAACAGGGATATTTGTGTCTTTTTGTATTGTCCTGTTGTAGATGGTTTATTGGATAGTATTCCAGCTATCGATTTTCTAATCTAAAGTTTCGAATCTAAACTTTCACAGATATTAGTAAGATTAAGACACATTTGACTTTAAGTGGAGTTTTGGGGGACAATGACTTCTAAATGATAACTTTTTAAGGCAAATTTTAGTGCATTTATGTCTGTGAAGTTGCTCAGAAAGAATAAAACAAAGGAGAGTGACTCCTGCTTCCAGAAAGATGGAGTAGACACACTTTCCCCTGCTAAGTACAACTAAACAACCTGGACAGTACATATAAGATGAACATAAGACTGAAAGGTGGAGAGGTGAAGGCAGACCAGACAGGAGTTTTGAAACCTGAAGAAGGACATGGTGGTGAGTTCCCTGGGCTTTCTTTTTGCCTCATGTATCCCAGGTTGGGTGCTAGAGAAGCTGGCAACCCAGAGATGCCAACAGGCACAGACAAAAAAAGCCCCAAAGAAAGCCTGCTTTCTCTCTGGTCAAAAGACAAGGAAAGGAGCAAGACAGATACATTTAGAAAATAACCTCTCTACTGTAGCCAAAAACCAAAGAAAAACTGTGGTCCTACCCCCACCCATTCCAGCAAAGTCTGAGTGGGAAGTCTAGACTTCCACCCTCTCCATATGGCCCAACACACCCACCAGGGTGATGCCTAAGAAGGCTGAGGAGGGAGCCAGAACTTTCATCCTGGCTAGCTAGTAATGAAGCCCCTCTTCTCCATGGTGTCAGTGGAGGCCACGTGGGGAGCCTAGATTTCCACCACCCAGCAGTAATGAGGTGCCACTCTCTCTCCTTGCTGGGGTGGTGTCAGATGGAGCCTGAAGGAGAGTCAGGACTTTCACCAGCACCCCAAAAAAGGAGGCCACTTCCCTGCCCTGACTCCTCTTCACTGTGGTATCAGCAGCAGCCACATGAGGAGCAGTAACAAGGCACTCCTACCCACCCCCAGCTAGGGAGGAATCAATGGACACCCAGTGGGGAGCTGGAATGCCCACCTCTGCCCAGCTGTAATGAGGAGCCACTCCCTTGGGTGTCCATAAGGGCTAGGTGCTGGCCATAGTGCCAGGAAGACTTTGCTTTCCCTGGGGAACTAAGAGGCCACACAAATGATCCTGTTTCTCTTTTGTTTTGTTTCCATGACTCACAGAGCCAAATTTGGGATGCCATCGGCCCACACATCTGTGTATTTAGTTCTCCTCAATCTGATGTTCTATTTCTAATTTACGTGTTCTCTGGTGTTGAATTTGCATTACATATACTGTGATGTTCTTTGTATGTGTCAATTTGGCTTGGCTATACCCCCAGTTTTTCAGTCAAAAACTAATCTAGATGTTGCTGTGAAGATATTTTGTAGCTGTGATTGAAGTCCGTAATGAGTTGACTTTAAGACAGGGAGATTACCCCAAATAATCTGAGTAGGCATGATTCAATCAGTCAAAAGGCCTTAGGAGCAGAGCTGAGGGTTTCCTGATGAAAAAGAAATTCCGTCTGTGGACGGCAAGCAGCTTCACCCCATGCCCAAGAGTGCCAGCCTGCCCTTCCTGATGGCCTGCTCTACGGATTTCAGATTTGCCTAGCCAGCCTCCACAATCAATGATACAATTCTTTCCAATAAATCTCCTAATATATATCTCATACTAGTTCTGTTTCTCTGCTTGGATCCTAAATGATACACGTATTTTTCTATTTTACTTTATGTATTATAGTAGCTGTCTCTAACCCATTGTGGAATGAAGCAGAGCACACATAATAGGTAAATACTCCTTGTATATTTTACTAGTCTACCCAAAGATCAATTGGGCATGTGTTGCCTCAATTTCCCACTTCTCTAATATTTTCCATCTTCATCACATATCTTCTTTCCTCCTTGGTCCCATCCCCTGCAGCCTCCTCTACACCTTTACTTCTTCACTCTCTCTCTCCAAATATTCCCTTGGATTACAAAAACCTCATTTGACACTTCAATCCCTGTGAATTTCCATACTACTTCTCTCTTCCCCTTCACTGCCAAACTTCTTGTAAATGTATTCTATTTTCTCTTCTTCTATTTCCTCACTTCTTAGCCTCTATTACTTGGTTTCCATATCTACTACTCTAGGAATTCACCTCTTGAATTTTCAAGGTTCAAATACCTCCAGGTCAGCAAATCTAACTACAGCAGGGCCTGCTAGTTACCTCCCAATAACTGTTCTCCCCTTCTTCCTTTGTAATAGAATCCCGGAAATCTGTCTAGCTAAAAAGGTATGTTTCTCAGCTGCCTGTGCCCCTAGCAGTGGCCTGTTACTCAAGTGTGGCCAATGAGATGTGACAGAATTGTGGAATGGCATTTCCAGAACACTCTTTAAAAGGACGGGGCATGCTCTTCTCTTCCTTTCCTTTCCCTTTCTTCCTCAAATACAGATGTAATGTCTGAAACATTAGCAGCATCTTGGATCAGGAGATAATCTTGAGGATGTAAGCTGAGTGGGATGGTGCAGAAAGATATAAGGACCTCAGTTTTGTCCTTAATGACATCAAGGACTTGCCAAACCAGTGTTGGACTGACTTCTTCCTTACTTCTTTTACATAAGAGAATAAATGCTTGCATGTTTAAGCCACTGTAGCAGGGTCTTTGTTACTAGTAGCTAAATGCAACCCCTGACAAATACACCCACGGTTCATCATTGTTCACTTATTCATTCGTTACATAAATATTTGTTAAGTGTTATTTTAGGCATGGGTATACAGGGGAAATAAGACAGACAAAGTCCTCCAGGTTTGAAATGCCGTTTAGACATAGAAATGGAGAAATCATAGGGCAGTTGCATTAAAATTAAAAAACAAAAAACTGTAGCTTACAGGAGAGAATTATGGTATGTAGCTTTGAAATGTATCAGCCTATAGTCACTATTTAAAGTTTCAATAAAATCACCTTAGGAAAGAAGGCAGAAAGAGAGAGATTACTTCTACAACTCAGCTGTGGCACACTCTAATGTTTGGAGGTCTCACAGAAGCCGAGCCAGGGCGGAGAGGCCAGTGGTAAAAGGAAAGCCAAAGGAGCATGCTCTCTCTGAAGCCTGGAGGAGAAAGGTTGCAGGGTGGAGGGAGGAGTCAGCATGAGCACCGCGAGGTAGAGTCAGGCACAGACAGAACTGGCTGTTCTCCTCCTCACAGGAGATTAACCGTGAAGCTAATGAAGCTTAAGTGTCACAGCCCATCACTAGCACAGGCTCCTTCCGATGCCTGTACCTAATTTTGTACCTGAAGTTTTGCATTCTTTGCTTAGAAGATTCTGCAAATTGCATAATCTCCAGCCCCATAAAACCTAGATGTGCCTCTCTTCATCGTCCTTCACCTCTCTGTGACAACCTGACCACATATTCTTCATTGACGTTGTTTCTTCCTTAGCTTCTTGTGATACTGCACTCTCTTCCACAGTTCTCTCCTCTGCTGCTGCCATTCCCTAAATGAAGATATGAGCTAACATTTGGCCTCAACCTTGTTCTCGCTACACTTTGCCTTTGCCAACTTATTCATTCATCTCATCCTTACATGAACAACTCTCAAATTCATACTTCCAGTGCTGATCTGTACCTCCCAAACATGGGGCAAAGAATTATGCCCTTTTAAAAGTAATTTGCCATGATAAAAATATATCTTTTTATAAAGCTCATGAGCAAAAGATGAAATGGATGAAAAGGTTAAGAAGTATGTACTTGGCTCAGTCAACATTAATCACTAGCATGCTCTTTCAGGAAGAACTAGAAGGCGGCCTGTCTTAGTAATCTATTGCTAAGTAATAAATTACCCCAAAATTTAGTGAACCCAAACAACGTGTATTATCTCACGGTTCTGTCGGACAGCACTCTGGGTGAGCCTTAGCTGGGTCCACTGCAGCAGGGTCTCTCACAGGCTGCAATCAAAGTCTTGACGGGTGTTACAGTCATCTCAAGGCTCACACATAGAAGGATCCCTCCCTAGCTCTCTCGCAGGGTGTAAGCCAGACTCAGTTCCTTGCCGTGTGGACCTCTCCATAAAGCAGCTCACAACATGGTTGGTAGTTTCATCCAAGTGAGCAGGTGAGGTAGTGCCCACAAGAGGGAATGCAAGAAAGATGAAAGTCAGTCTTTTATAACCGAATCTCAAAAGCAAGATTCCTCCATCACTTTTGCCATATTCTAGCAATAGAAACGAGTCACTAGGTCCAGCCCACACACAAGGGGAGAGGATTACACAAGGGAGTGAATACCAGGAGTCAAGGATCATTGGGAGCCATTTTAGGAGCAGCCTACCACACAGCCCGTTCCCTACAGAAACTCATGATACAGCTGAGAAGCGTTATGTGAGTACCTGAGGAAGACTAAGGGATGCCGGCACAATGACCGCCAGTCTATGCAGGTGGATGTTAGTTACTCTGCAGCTGAGACACTTGTTCCTGTCAGATTGCTTGTAACACGTTTTAGATTGCCACTGATCTTCAGTGTATTTTGAGACGCATTCCACGGAGGTTGCCCTCCTCCCCTCTACTCCTGAATAATTGCTATAATGATGTAAAATGTAAGCTTAAAAATCCTACTGATAGCCGTGCTATGTGGTTGTCCGGTAGTCCCCATTGTTTTTTGCATTGCAGTTAATTAAACACTAAAACACTTACTAAAGTATAGTGTCTCCGTTTCATTTCCCACTTTGTGGTCAGAGCTCCACCAACATACCTCTCTTCATTAAAGTAGGGGGCAACTTTATCACGATATGAGTTACTTCATAGAGAAAATATTTCTCATCTGCCGAGTTTTCCTCTTGCTATAAGAAAAAAAAAATAGACCAACTAGTTTTATTTTAATCTCTCTGAAAGTAACTCAGCAATCTACTAGTTAGCACACGGGCTTATAATTAATCTTAATAAACATGCGATTAATGCCTTTCTAGGCTTCCTTTGCACAGCCTGCGCGCACACTTCCCTCGCTTCAGCAGTTCGGGCTCCGGCCGGCGATCTGCCCTTCCGTGTAGTTCCACCCCACACCGCAGGGGGCAGAGGCAGCCCGTGCTCGCTCCCGGCTTCCGACCCTGCTTCCGTCTCCTTCAGACCCGACCAAGTCAGTGCGCCGGGGGGAGCGGCCATAGAGACGGCGGCCCTGGGCGCTGCGGGAACGTCCCGGCCCGGCTCTGGCGAGGCTAGCATCCCCCCGCCCGGCGGAGAGAGGGACGGCCCGGCCCGCAGGCCCGACCCGGAAGCCGCCGCGCGGGCCACGCTCGCCTCTCGCCGGGACAGTGTGCGCCGCCCCGCGTGCCCTGGCGGCCGGCTGTCCGTGCTCGGCCCCACTGGCCCATGGGTCTCCG